GCAATGGGAATATATAGATGCAGTGCAAAAAAATATACGGGGTGAGACTGGAGTATATGGGCTTCACAGGACGGGGTCCTGTGTAGGGCACGTGGTATAGTCACTGATTAAATAAAACTAGTTTTTATAGTCACGGAATGTCAAATTCACATGGCATGGCGAGTTACGTTCACACCTCAATAATGTTGCCCTCTAAGCATGACTATAATGATCCACATTTATCTTGATTAAAATATAAGACACTTTAAAAACTCCCCAATAGCCATTTCATTGAACAACTTCACGCACCTTCATGTGCCATTACCGGACGTTGGACTTCTGAACTGAGCTTCGGCCAAAATATTATATGTTAAGAGAGCAAATATTGAAATATCATTGACAGAAACTTGCAACTTGTATATGTCATGGAGCTCTGACTTGGTGACACTAAGAACCTAATTAGCAGCATGCACAGTTTTAAGGGCCTTATCTGTAGTGATCTGAGCTATCAGCGGCTCACCGGATGAGGATCATGTTAATGAATTCTAAAGAAAATCAGTGCAATATAATGCATGTTTTTTACGAATGCACCAATGATACCGATTAGATAAAAGTATTCTTCGAAACTCTAGAGCGTGAAGTCTCATGGATTATTGGATATGGAAAATTCCACAGAAATTTCGTCAATAGTTCTAATTATCGTGTAATATAACTAGTATTTAAAAAAACATATATTATCAAAATTGATTTTAGCGTGTGGAAGTACAATTTTTTGTCGAATCAAGACTAAGGTGTGACCGACTCCTCTTCAGCAGTTGAGACGAGATCTACAACCAGATTTCGGGAGGAACAAACTGCCTTAAATGAATATGTGTCGACGAGAGAGACAGAAGCTCTAACAGAGTTTACACCATATGTGCCAAGTAGTCAGTGGCCCACACGTACCCAGTAGTCAGGGTGTCAAATGTACCGAGTAGTCAGGGGTACATTACGTACCCAGTAGTCAGGGTGTCAAATGTACCCAGTAGTTAGGGACTCATACGGTCCCGGATCAGGGTGTCAAATGTACCCAGTAGTTAGGGACTCATACGGTCCCGGAGTCACGAGCCCAAAAGTACCGGCATTCGGTGCCCCACATGTATATATATAATCCGTAGTCAATTGCCTAATATTTCTGGCGGTGGTCCTGGGCCGAGTACACTGTAAGTCTCCTCGCTTTGGAATCTCATTTTAGGATCTCGAGGCCCATTTCCAGGCATGGACCTTAGTATCCTTAGCATTTGTTTCGGACGTAGCAGTCCCAGGCCACGATGGATCGCCGCCTCTGATTATCGTTCATCCGCCCTCATTTGGGCCACCTGATGCACGATGCTGTTGCTTGCTTCTCGCCGCTGGTAGTGTTGCAGGGGAGGTCGATCTGGGATTGTGCCCAGGAACACGTTTAGTTGTCTCTTGAAGGTCTCCAGGGTGAACTCCCCCTCTCTTAGATCCATTGGTAGGGCGTTAAACAGACGTGCATTGACGAGCTTATTATTTCATTATTTAAATACATTTTATCTAGTGATATTTCTCTTGGAAGTCAAGCTGCATGAATTTATTAGACTTTCCAGGAATTTATTCAATTTGCTCTACAACTGATCATCCTTTGACTATCAGTTTATATTTCGATTAATTAAGTCAAAGGTCAAATTAATTTGACTAATTAATTAATTAGTCAAATAATGACTTAATTAATTAGTCATTAATTATGTCAAATTAATTTGACTATCAGTTTAATTTCGATTAAGTTTTTCTCGGATGGCAGTGGATTATTATACAATATATTATTCATCTGAGCACAGTTTTGGTTCCTCGCATGACACTAGCGTAATCTCTGGAATGGTCGCTCAGAATATATTGTTAATTTACATATTATTTATCAACTTATTATCACATATTTTGGACGATGCAAATGAGTAAAATATATAGAAACAATTTATTCATCGAAAATTTAAGGAATTAGCTATAAATAAATTACTTTGAATGAATACATTTTTCATCATGACATACATACAAACTATATAAAACCGGAGCTGTTGAAAAATATTTTAGAGATCCAAGTTCACGGACTATCAGCTGAGCTAAAAGAATCATCAATTCAGCCCTCTACCGCCTGACGTAAGTAACCGGAGCAATATTGTCACGCGCCTACTTCCCAAAAAGGATACGTTCTAGTGAGCGCAAAATGACTTGCACTGATGGTTGCCGCCCCGTACGACAACTTTAAAATGTTCTCTGTTGCGTACAAACGTCCTCAGGTTGCTACACTCAATAGTTTACGTATAATTTAAGTGGAAAGTTGTGTTCCCGGAGAGTGACATACGGCGGTAGAGGGTTAAACAGGTTTTCTAATACGAGAACTTCAGCATTTGCATGCACCCCCTCCCTGACCCCCACCCAGACCAGCCTTCCATGTAAGCCAACCAGCCGACAACTGGTTTGTTTCATGGAATTATTTTGAATTTTAACCTGGTCTAAAACTCATATCAATAAAAGCCAAATTCATTGAGCTGTATTTTCATCAAAAGGAGTGTAACCCAGGAGGAGTGTTTGTACGCACGCTAAAGTCAATTTTTACGCACGCTAAAATCAGCTTGTACGCACGCTAAAATTTTAATCATACATGTTTTTATACTAGTTTTATATAACAAATTAATTCGAATTATTCACGAAATTTCTGAGTATTTTTCCATATCAAATAATCCATGTGACTTCACGCTCTAGTGTTTCAAAGAATACTTTTATCTAATCGTTATCATTTGTGCGTTCGTAAAAGATATTCTTTATATTACACTGATTTACTGCATAATTATTTAACATGATCTTCATCGCGCGCTCTGATCCTGAGGATCATCCTGATAGCTCTGATAACTACAGATAAGGCCTGATAAGTCTGCATACTGCTGATTATATCCTTATCATAACCAAGTTAAAGCTCCATGTCCATAAAATGGCACCTAACATCATAAAGATATATGTGCCAGCGCCCGCAAGGGTATAGGTATAGGTATAATTTGTAAGATATGTGTAATGGGTAAATACGTATAGGTATAATGGATATAGGTATGAAAGAGACACGTATAATAAGTATCTATTAATTCCTATATTAATATAGGACCTAACCCCCTAGATATACCAGCGCCCGCTACTCAATATTCCTAATTAAGCGCTATATAAATTGCCGCTCGTCGCTACGAAGCTTATAGCTGGTCAGAGCTGTGAGTTGTAGGGTTCGATACCCACATAACTGTGATACTGTTTTAACTTCATAAATTTGAAGATATGAGTGTGTAAAGGTTTCCCCAAAGTTTCACGAAAATGAGATGATTCGATACTTTTATCACGTTTATTGATGGTGAGTTTCTGCACATAAAGAACGACAAAGACAGACGAATCCTTGTATTAGCATATTCGAACCTTAGCAGTGCGATTTCTGCCATCCTCGCTCGTGACGAACTCTTGAATTCTGCCGAGTGGCCATTGGTTTCGAGGCAGGGATAAGTCGGTTACCAATACGAGATCGTTTTCCTTCAAGCGTTCGTCGGGGTCTTGCCACTTCTGACGATGTTTGAGGGTTGAAAGATATTCTTTCTTCCATCGCTGCCAGAACAGGTCGGACAGGTATTGTACCTGTTTCCAGCGTCTTTTATGATACGAGTCATGATGACTAAACAATTCTGGTGGGAAGGAATCGGTTGCGTTGAGCAGAAGGAGGTGGTTGGGTGTCAAGGCATCACAGTCCCGGGGATCGTCAGTGACCGGGGTGAGTGGCCTGTGATTGAGGATTGACTCAACTTCGCACAAGGTTTGTAGCGCTTCGTCGGTGAGTTATACCTTCTGTTCGTACATCAGCGCGGTTAGCACCTTACGCACGCTTCGTATTTCTCTCTCCCACACCCCGCCGTAGTGTGACGAGTATGGTGGGTTGAATTTCCACGTGATGCCTTTCTGCTTTAACCAGCCTTCTATGTTCTCTGAATTCCACTGCTCGATGACTCTTCTTAATTCTGCGTTAGCTCCCGTGAAATTTGTACCGTTGTCGCTTATCAGGGAGGCGACATTGCCTCGTCGACACACAAAGCGACGTAGTGCATGAATAAAGGAATCATTCGTCAGCGAATGAGATAATTCTAAGTGAATGGCTCTGCCTGAAAGACAAGTGAATATGACGCCATACATTTTCTGTGATTTTCTACCGTGGACTGTGAGAGATGGTCCAAAATAATCCACACCCGTGTTGGTGAAGGGTGCGCAGTCTCCTAAAACACGGTTGGCGGGTAAGTCAGCCATCATTGGTTGGCACGGTCTAGCATGATATTTTCTGCACGATAGACAGTCTTTTACAATTTTCTTGCCGAATTTATTGCCGCCAATAATCCAATACTTTCGTCGCAAATGTGACAGCATTGTGGCACGCCCGAGGTGCCCGAGGGTGACGTGGCTGGCTCTCATCATCAACTGGACGATAGCAGAAGAGCCAGGGAGGATGATGGGATGCTTCGTCTCGTATTTCATTGAGCAGTTCTTAAGTCGGCCTCCGACACGGAGAAGGCCTTTTTCATTAGTGAATGGGTTCAAATTTAGAAAGATTTTGTTCATCGAGGATCGACCCTTACACGAAATTACGGAGGTCAGTTCATTCGTTTGCACAAATTTCCAACTCGCTTCTTCCGCTTTGGCTATCTCATGGACACGCAGCCTGCCAAACTCTTCATTTCTTCCCCTCAAATGATTTACGAACCTTAGGAACCAGGCGACGCGACACCTCACACCGTACCAACTGGAGCTCGACTCCAGAAGAGTTTAGAATGGGGGTTTCACCGTGGATGTTGTCCATACCTTTATGTCCGACTTTACCTCGCAATCAGAGTCTTGCACGTGGTAAATTTGTGGGGTAGCTACAAATTCAATTCTTGACAAGAAATCTGGTCCCTTGTTCCACAGATTTGAGTTAGCCAAGTTGTCAGGAGTAACTCCCCGGCTTACGAGGTCAGCTGGGTTTTCCTTCGATGCCACATGGAACCAGTCTTCGGATGCCGAGAGGTTTCTGATGAAGGCGACCTTGTTTGCAACAAAACGCTGGAAGAGCCTATTTTCGTTTTAATGTAGGCCAGGACGGTGGTACTGTCCGTCCAGAACGTTGTTTTATCTACCGGTTGCTCCATTTCGTTGGCCAGAATTGCGGCGATTTCGACGGCCAGTTTTGCAGCGCAGAGCTCAATTCGGGGTATCGTTCGTAGAGTTGTGTTGTTCAAGGGTGTCAACCTAGCCTTGGCAAACACTGGAGGGCTCAATGCGACAGACTCGTGCGTAATATACCTCAAGTACGCGACAGCGCCGTACGCCGTCTCGCTGCCATCGCAGAACACGTGAAGCTCCTTCCTTGTGGGGTCACCTTTGACGTAGAATTTCAGATTTCGAGGAACTTTATACTCAAACGACTTGAAATTTTCTTGCCATCTGTTCCAGGATTCGAGAAGAGAGCGTGGAGGAGGGTCTGTCTCTTATACACATCTAGATGTGTATAAGAGACAGGTATATATTATTGCCATTTGCCTTTTATGAAAGAAATGTTTCCCGTAGAATGACATATTACTTTCTGTCTCTTATACACATCTAGATGTGTATAAGAGACAGGGTGTGCAGATGCCAATTCAGACCGAGAGCCTTGATGGATTGCATTTCCGAAATGACGAGTGGCAACGATGAAGGGCATTTTAATTCCGTGGAGTTCATTGCGAAATACGAGAGGTTAAAACCTCCTTGAGCGAGAGTTTCCTTTACTTGTTTTGCAACAGCGAGCGCTTCGTTGCACGTGGCCGCTGACAGAAGCAGATCGTCTACGTAAAAGTTTCGTGATATTACATTCTTTACCTGCGAGCTTTGAGCGTAATCTTCAGCAGCCTGCTTGACTGCGAAATTTGCGATACTTGGCGAACTGCGTGCACCGAAGACGTGCACTCTGAGCCGGTATTCCTTGGGACCTGAATTTTCGTCAAACAAGAAGAACTTTAAGAAATTTGCCTGACAGAATGGAACTCTTACTTGATAGTACATTTTTCGATGTCTCCGATTAATGCACAGTTTTCCTCGCGGAATCTTAACAGCACCCCTAGGAGGTTATTCGTGTGGTCCGGCCCTTGTAGAAGGAGATCGATCGTTCAGGGAAACCCCCTGAAACTTCAGTGAGCAGTCGAATACAACTCTAATTTTCCGTTTGTGGGCGTGGTATACTGCATGATGAACCAGAAACCATTCCTCTTGGGGTTGCGTTGAGTGCTCAGGCACTGGCTCCATAAAATTATTTTTTAGCATTTCTTGCATGAAGGTCGAGTAATCTTTGCGGAATTTTTCATTTTTGTTGAATCTCTGTTCTAGGCAGCGAAAACGCGACAGTGCTTGATGTCTGTTCGAAGGAAATTTGAATTCTTCATCTCTGAAGGGCAGGCCTATTTCGTAGCGCCCGTCCGGTAGCGTTTTCATACTTTTCGTAACTCTCTCCAGCCATATATTGTCTTCAATTTTGAAGGACACGATTTGATGGAGGATCCAAGGAAATCTTGAGCGAAAAAGGTTTCCAAATCTTCTTCGATGGTTTTGGATGTCAGCCGATTGCATGAAGATCGAGTTTGCTTCCTTTTGAGTGGCCCGTTAAAAGTCCAGCCGAGCCAGTAGCATAAGGCGAAGGGCTCATCCCAGGAACTGTCAACAATACTTGTTGGCTTCAAAAGCCCTGGCATGTTCATGCCTATCAGCAGGCCCACTTCTACGTCGGCAAACTAGAACGGTACGTTGGCTAAATACGGGTATGGTTGGACGTCGGCGTAGCTGGGTACGTCGTCTTTTGTGAATGGCCAGGAAGACGGGTCTCGAGTTAAAAGAGAAGGCACTTGTTTTCTTCGTTCTGTTTAAATCTTCGACGTAGAGATTCGTGATTAGATTGCTTTTCATTGTAGTTTTGTCTTTCATTGTCGTTAGAGTAACGTCTCTAGGATGCAGCTTCATATTGAGCGCTTTAGCAAGGTCCTCCCGCAGCCAGCAATCCGAAGAATGAGGGTCGAGAGCAACGTTGATTAGAATTTCTTTGTTTGAAGTTCTGGACGAAATTCTCGCGGCGACTATAGGACAGCTCACGGCTCTCTGCACAAGCTTGCCGGTCTCGCAAGCAGAACTCGCCCTAAGGGTTGAGCGAGAGTCCGACGTGCAGCAGGGACTTGCATTCTGTCCGGGTCCGTTTTCGTTTTTTTCTGCTAGGGTTTTCTTCGGAGGTTGCTTCGACGAGCTGGTATCATTATGTAGAATGGTTGGATGACGTTTATGACAGGTTGCACATGACAACGGTTTTTTTTGCAAGATTTAGACACGTGTCCCTTTGACAAACACGCAAAACACAGCCCTGCTGCCCTAACAAACGCTGATTTTTCAGAGAAGCTTTTCCCTTTAAAGAAGATACAATAAGAAAGGTCGTGATTGTTTTTTTTTTGCATAGTTCGCAAAATTTCACCCTATCACTGGAGGAGATCTCGACTGCTGCCGTGACACGAGTCTTTGATTTCACGGTGGTTTCAGGCTTGTTTTTCCGTCTTGTTGCATCCACGATGGTTCCAAAGAGCGGTTGGCGAACGAGACTGGCTTCATTCTGAACAAAGATAACGAGATCACTGAACATTACGTTGCGTTGCGCGTTTTTTGAGATGTCAAGAGTTTGAATTCTCCATCGTTCTCTTGCCTTAAATGGTAATTTCATCACTAAGTTCATCATTTCCTTAGGGTTATCTAACTGAGAACCGAGGGGGCCATTTTCTAGGAAATGTTGACATTGAATGAGGAACGTGGAAAGTTCAAGGAGCGAATCTTTGGCTTCGGGTTCGATCTCTGGCCAGTCTGAAAGAGTCTCCAAGTATGCGTTAGCGATTTTAAAATCGTTGCCGTACTCTGCGATCAGTAGTTCTTTCGCTTTCGCGTAGCCCACAGACGGGTGACAGGTGCTGCAACTCTGAACAAGTTTGAAAGCTTGACCTTTGGTAAACTGTTCCAGGTAGGTTAGCTTTTCTACCTCAGTGTTACACTTCGACTCTATGAGTAATTCGAACTTATAGAGGAACATCTTGAACTTCGTAATGTTTGTGCCATCGAAAGGCTCGAGATGCTTCTTGGAGAGTGATGCTTGGTCGCGCTGACTGAGCATTGAGCGAGAGATTTCGTTTTGTTGCGAAAGAAAATGCAACAATTGGTTGGCGTCGTGAGTTTGAGGCGTAGGTCCGGTCGGTATGACGTGCACTGTCAGCTCCACGTGTCCATCGATCTCATTCAGGGCCTGTTCCAAAAGAATGGTTTCCAGATTTCCTTTGTCGATTTCCGCCTTCGATCTTGCGTGTTTAAATTCAAGCTCCTTCTGTTTTAGAGACAACTCTTCGCGCTTCAATGATAGTTCTTCCTGTTCTATTTTCTGAATGTTGATCATGTGCTGTTTTTCAGCTTCTAATCTGGCTTTACGTTCGGCTAATCTAATTCGTGAAGATGACGCTGCGGAACTCCCGGAGCGACTGCTACATACTGAACCCCGAATGTCGTGATTCGGGTCCTTTCCTCGGATTTTTCACTACAGGTCTGTTAGAATTCAAAAATGTTTCTACCTTGATGCGGAATTTGTCAATGCCAATTTTGTTTTGTGTTAACCAAGGTCCGTCAGAGTCATTACAGGACCCGAGGAGGTTTTCCACTCTTGTCAAATATTCAGTGAAGTTTCTCCTAACCTCGTCGAAATCGGGATAATCGCTTTGCAGAAGGCTTTCANAACTTCTGCGTCACCATATTTTTTTGATTTGCTTGAATCGTCAAGATCGAATGAGATCTCGAGCTGTTTACATTCATGTTGGTATATAGCAGAGACGTGGCGATTGGTGTTGCCGCGTTCGATGACGGCAAACGCGTCCTTTTCGGAGGACACGTTGATCACGGTGGCGTTATTCACCGAAACCTCACCGTTTTGGTCTTCTTGTACAGTGAGGACTTTTGTAACATCCAACAAGTCTCTAACTGTATTTCTATATAGTTCTATAAACGAAACAACAATCTTGAATTCATTGTCGCCCATGCTTTGGATTTGGTGAAAAATGTCGCTGGTGGCACGAGGCATGATGCCATGAAGATTTGGCTTCGACAAAGTCCCAACCATCGTGTGCGTTTTGCCCGAGGATGTCTGACCATACACCAAGAGGGCACCATTGTACCCATTTAGTACATCTCTGACAACATCCTTTGCAGCTCTTTCATACACTGCTTCTTGGGTGCTGTCGGGCGTGAAAACATGGTCAAAATGCCATGCTTTGTCCCCTATGGATACCGATTGAGCTTCTTCGCCATTACCGGCAGGAAGATTTATCGTTGACCTGGCCCTTTCTTCTGAGTCAGGCGCGGGCCTAAATCTGACCACAACTTCAATATTGGTAACAACTTCTGCCTTGCTAGGAGCATGAGGCTGTTTACTCATTTTAGCGTAGTTTTTTATTCACATAAGCAATAAAACGTGGTAAAGGGAACAGTGAAAATGAGATGATTCGACACTTTTATCACGTTTATTGATGGTGAGTTTCTGCACATAAAAGAACGACAATTTTGTAATGCGAGATAAACGAATAACGTGGTATTCAACAATATGGTTCAAGAATAATAACATACAAAAGAAATAGATCAAACTAAATTAGCTTACCGAATCATCGGAGGAACTGGGTAAATATCGGTAGGTAAGGATCTTAGCGAAACGAAGAGCGAATTCAAAGGGGAAATTCAATTATCGTCGTGGGTCTACAATCGTTCTGTCTATTGAATGACATTGGCTCCTGACTACACCTCCTATTACAGCGTTAAGGGATGGAACCAAATGTGCACGAGAAGCCTCAACAATGATAATAAAACATTTTCAAAACATATCAATGCAATCTTATTGCAATTAACCTAACCGAACTGGTACGGGTTAGATACAATAAATAAAGGTTACTGCTATTTTTATGTTTTACCTTCCCTACATGGATGTCTACTTTAATCTACCAATCTCAAAAATTATCCACATGTACATATAGAAACTCAGTCTTTCATTTGTATATAGATGTGTTCATTACTTTTGAGATTGGTAGTTAAAGTAGACATCCATGTAGGGAAGGTGAAACATAAAAATGACTGTGTAAAAATAAAAGGAAAATTAAAATTATCTTTTAACATCGTTGATCTTGCGATTTGCTGGCTGTATTCATGATTCTGTCTTGAGCGAATTGCTGTGTAACTAAGTAATTAATTAATATATCAGGAGTTCAACGCAGTCAACATATATGGTTATTATTGTTTTGGCTTGAGAAAACAAGGCGCCCTTGAACTTGTGAATTTCTGGCGACTTTCAGGGGATTGGGATTTATAAACATTTATGGCCTGTAATGATGGACATGCAGTTATATTCTCCATATTGTTGCATTAAATACTTACGAAACATTGTGAAGATGAACTAATATTGTAGAACTGAACGAAACATGGCACAACTGAACTAAACATTGTGAAACTGAACGAAATATTGTACAACTGAACGAAACATTGCAAACAACTGAACGAAACATTGTACAACTGAACGAAACATTGTACAACTGAACTAAACATTGTGAAACTGGACGTAACTGTAAAACTGAACGAAACATTACGGACCCATGACTCATCAACCTGTCTCATGACGCGCTGTTCTACGCGTCAATGTGACTCATCTTTTGTTGCTACGTGGGTCAATATGACTCATTTCTGACATGACCCATGTTCAGGGTGAATATATATCATGACAACCAACGTGTACGTAATATTCACGTTACATGGTCGCTTGTATTAAGCTTGTATAAATGTGTTGCTTGATTTAGTTAAGTCGAGGCCTCACTGACTGTATGAATTACAATAAATTTCTTGTATTAAAATGACTCATGATGCCCGTTGCTTCATTACTTCATTATTCACATTCATTATTCATTATTAATTCATTATTCACAGTTTGTTGCGGGTTTCGAACACGCAACTCGTTGCTCCCAATTTACTGTGCTTAACCGCCCGGCCAGAACTGTAGCAGGTAGCTGGGATCGAACCCACAACTCACTCCTCCAATTTTAGTACAGCGAACTGTAACCACCGGGCCACCCAGCGTCCAGATGATATTTAAAGTCTGTCATAAAATTTCACAGTAAATATCACTTTTATCCACAATGGATCTTATCGCATCAAGTTTAAAACTTATTTTACTCTATTTAGTAACGATAAAGAAAATGTAATCCCTAATCCGTTTGGCGTGGCGGACCATTTTACGTTCGGACTCGCGGCCGGTCCCCGAACTTAGTGACCAAGGAATATCTCATAAACTAATGAATAGAATTAAATGTAACTTTGTACATGTATTCATTAGGAACTAACGGGCATGTTTAGCTCGCGAAAACCGTTTACATTTCACCTTTATTCGTGAGTTATACGGGGAAACGGGCCGAAATTCGCAGTGACCAAGAAATTGTTTTTAACTAATGAAGATTTGAACAGAATTTTTAATATAAATTCCTACCCTCTCAACGGTGAGGTTTAGATCGTGAAGCCAAAATAAAACACAGAAATTTACACTTGAATTATCTGCAAAAAGTTCAATAAATTACTCATATAAATGTTTATTCATACGTTCAACAGTGCTTGTAACATTTTGCCATATAACTCGCAAACAAATTAGTAATCGAAAAAAAATTTCACAAGCTAAACATCACCGTTAGGTTCTGATAAATATGTGTTCAAAGTTACGTTGAGCTGCGTTCCTTAGTTTGGGAGATATTTTTTGGAGACCGGCCGTAAAATTGTGGAGACCGAAGTGTGCGGGCTCGACCCGCACCGCGGGGTAACGTAAGGGCTGGTCCGCCCCCTGGGGGTTTAGGGGCTCAACCCCCATCGCTGAACATTGGGGTTCCACGCCACTCATAGTTGGGGGTCGAATTCCTCCGCCTCAAGTCCTGGGCTAAAAAATGTGAGGTCAGCATTTATAAATAAAATCGTTATTTTATTTATATATGGTCATAAATTATAAATTATAATTATAATATATTATCTTATAATAATTATTCAAAAAGATATTATAGACATTTATAAATTATAAATTTATTAAATTATTTATAAATGGTCATAAATCAGCATCAAAAATCAATAGGCAGACCAAACATAGCGTCCGGTATAGAAAATAATTGGCATACAACAAATATAATAATATAGAAACAATGAACAACATCCGCTTGGCTTGTAAGGTTCAGGCCTCAAAGCCAGGTTTTCCTGTAAATGACTGCTTCTTCTATTAACAAGTAATAAATATTAAAAGAACTTTATTTGCTCGTCGCTCGTACCAGCAGCGTCAAATAAAAGGGTTACTCATGAAAAACGTTCGTTTTTTTGGGGAAAATTTTTTCTATCTTAAAAAACGTTTTCTGGAAGGACTAATTTATATTGAAAATTGATTTGCAAATAACGAAGCAACAAAACGATCGCGGCCAAGTGCTACGACCGCTAGGACACGGTCTCAATTTTGCTTACCTACAAAATGCGATTGTTGCTGGTCACCGCACGAGAGTATCACTATAATTTTGGCTGCTATCTACAATTCGTGAACGTACTGTGATGCAAGAACCATGATTGTGCGTTATTATGGAATCATTTTAATACCTTAAATATGGAGTAAAAATGATCACGAACACCAATGAAATTCAATATGAATTGCCAACTGCAGCCTGGAGAGCAGTTGCCCATAGCCTGGGCGTTGGTCCACAGCACATAACTGATGGTGATAAGAACCTCCTACAGAAAGAGTTACTTTCAAAACGCTTCACAATCACAGTGCAGGCAATCTCTATTAGTTTACGGTCATACCAAGATTATTATAGTGGAATCTAAGGTCAACAAGCATTTGTGCTTCTCAGAATTTTACCAGTCCGTGTAAGAAATTGTATTATATCATGGAATTTTCCTCTCTTTGACGTCAAAAGTTATCTATATTGGCCAATATGAAATTTAAAGGTTCGAAACCTCTTCTTCAACAATATGCAACAAATTACTGCCAATGTGCTCTCAAGTAGGGACAAGAAGGATTTTTACTTAGGCAGGTTTTATTTGAAATATCAATCTCCAAGTTCCAACCTGTTGCTACGGAGACAGAATGTACACGAGATATTAATGTAATAGGCCCATGGCAAATGCAGTGGTATACCAAATTATATAAGGAAGTGTTCCACGCTAAGCATATTTCAGCTCTGATTCTAACATATACTTGATGCATGTATTCGTTGTGATGATGGTTAATAAATTTGCTTGCTGTCGATGACGGCGTGCTGAAAATAGCCAATGATATAGAATAGTTAAGTCGCCGCTCGAGACATGCGCGTGCTCAGTCTTGGCTATGTTACATCCAAATCGTCAACGAAATTCAACCTGCATAGGATCGCAATTAGTTGAAAAATATTTTTGAGGTTTCTAAAAACCATCTCGAAGATGGTTGCTAGAAGCCAATTAACTGGAGTTAGGTGACTGCTATGCTGCTCTGCGATACCCTTATAGAAATGCGTTCAATAAAATAGTCAAATTGGTGGCAACAGATTTACTAGCGTTTCAGCTGTTTCGCATCGAATTCAATATGAACATCACCAACGAGTTGGAAGGTCTCCGTTGTCGAAAGATTCTCAAATCAAAAATTGTTCATCACCCACATGGGGCGGAAGGTCTCAATTGTCCAGCCCGCTGAAGCTGGCTTGGAAGAAGCAGCGTTAGCATCTCAAAGAGACGAAGTGACAAGGAGGGACAGGTGACAAGGAGGGACAGGTGACAAGGAGGAACAGGTGACAAGGAGGTACAGGTGACAAGGAGGTACAGGTGACAAGGAGGGACAGGTGACAAAGAGTGACAGGTGACAAGCAGTATCTACGGTCAGGAGGATCGAGAGTTTGATCTTGACGAGGTGTAATGGCTTGAGGTCAACTTCAGAATTTTTAAGTTTTAAGGACATTTTGCTTGCTGTAGGCAATCAAAATCGTAATTTAAATTTTCATTGCGGTTAGTCGAAACTCAGAAGTTAATTGCTTAGCAGCGCAAGTAAAAATCATTCGAATTTACATTTCAAATGGAAAAAATGTGAAAAACTTGCACCCTCTGGCAGAAAATTTTGCTCTCTAAATGCTTTAAATATCAAAAATAAGTCTTTTTGAAACCAAATCTAATAGGTTCGAAGCTGCGAAGAATATTTATCTAGAAAAGTCGCTTCGCCGAAGACTTTTAGCGCAAAAATATTTCGTTGATTACATAAAAACAAAATAGCAGTGCTGACACAAATACAAGATAGGTATATTTTATCGCGTTTTAAGGTGCCGTATGCGAATTGATTAGTAACACTTAAATTATTCGTTTTAAATCATGCTGCCATGAAAAATAATCTATATAAAATAATGCCGCAATAAT